TCTCTCTCTCTCTCTCTCTCTCTCTCTCTCTCTCTCTCTCTCTCTCTATGCTTTTTTCCGTGTTCAAGCACTAGTCACATAACTAAATTGCAAATGAAATCATTGAAGAAAAAGTTGCTTTACATTGCGATAGTACCGCACAAGTCGCGATATATATAGATTTCATAGTAAGCAGGCCCGTCCTTCTAAGCTAATTACAAATTTATAATTTTTGGCAAGAAGTTACTCGCACAACAACCCAACAATCCCCTTATTAGTATTTTAGGTTCTTATCAAAATATTATTGTTACTAAGTACTTAGTATGTGGGTTATTAAGTAAGTAGCATTGTATTGAATTCATTGACTTGAGATTATTGGGATAGCATCAATTCTATTTGCAATTCTCAAAAGATCTATTTACAAATCAATTACTTACACAAACTTATATTTACAAGGTTTGAGAACTGATTGTAAACTTCTCTGCTCGCATATCACGATTCAACTAAGCTTGTCTTCAACAAATAGTCTGCTTATACATCGACTTGCTTAAATATCAAATCTCATTTTCCCATTAATCGTTTTACCTACGTTAAAGTCTCCCCACTTTGGTCATCAACACTCACCGGCTGCATAAGCTTACTTAACTTTAAGATGTCGCCAGGTAAAGCATCGTTTTCATGTACGCTTTCGAAGTGTGTAATTTTCTTAATAAATATGTATACCTCATGAGTTATCCGATCTATTCGTTGCATATCGTGACAAAATTAGTAAATCCTTCCTCGCATTATGTGATTGTGGGAGACTTTTGCTTCAAAAGAGTATCGCAAAGTCCTAAATGAAAGCCAAACCATGTCTATCAATAAAGCGTTTTAAGGCTTTCCTTTAAAGGCAGTGCGCTTGTGTGTGTGCTATAAACTCTTAACCGGGTATATCTTCAACATTTTCCATTCGATTCTTCTACGCCATTAAATAAATAAATAAATCGCCTTCGATATGGAAGGAATTTGAATTTTGTGGAAAAGACCACGTGGCTGCAACCAGCGGATAAGTTCACGATGCAATTTTCAAAATTTATTGACGAACAACGCTAGCTGCAAACTTTCGAGCCCTTCCCTTATAACGGAAAGTAACCCTTCATATAGGAAAAATGTGAAATTCTTAATATTTTATGAAGAGATTTAGTCCATTATTTAGTTTAGTAGTTTAAGACGAAAGTGAAATATACAAAACTTGGATCGCATGCAACTATTTTCTGGACCCCACATCGTGTTCGGGTCCTCATGAAAAGTAAGCGTAAAGGAATATAATTCTTAGTGCTTAATAACAAAAACAAATGAAAAATAATAAAATCTTTGGCAGGAAAACTGCTTGTACTACATTTGGTTGGATAAGGTATATCCACGTTTTGAGAACCTCCCCACACACGA